AAATCCTGTTTTTAGTGGGAATGAAGACAGGTTCTTTTTTTTTTCTTTTTTTCTTTTTTAATAAAAAATGGTTGCCTAATAGTCACTGCAAATGAAAGCGAGGCTGTACTAAGTAAAAATAACTGTTTTCTTTTGCTTCTAGCAGAAATACCGTAGACTGAATAAGGTGCGTAGTATAGAGAAGATGTTGGGGCTGTTCTGGGAGGATGGGAGCTAGTTACTTTGGGGCAGGGTGTGGAAATGGGAGGGGGGAATAAAAAGTCTTGATACCCTTCAGAAAATAAACTCAATTCTAAGATCAGTAAAGAGGCTATTAAATATGCTTATGTAGCTTATAACTGAGATATTTTCTGATTGTTTATTTTTATTTGTTTGCTTTCTAACATTACTTTTCCAGGGTGCCTGAATATTTTAGCTAGTTCAACTTTTTCTGGAATGATACCCTACTGCAATGTGGGAGGGCCTGTACACTTGAATTAAGAACAAACCTTGTCCGAGTTGCATGTATCTGGTAGCGTATGGTTATTTTGTACTGAAGTACGGTGTGTAAAGTCCGTCTGGAAGGAATGTCGCAACTGTCTCACCGCTCTTGGACTTTGGATAGAATGTAACTCGGGTTGCTCAGCTGCCTACGTAATAAGCTCTTGTAGTTTACAAAAGTAGCTTGGCCAGGAATGTACTTAAAAGCTATTAAGTTTCTAGAAAATGTTTCACAGAGAAAGTTGATGAGGCCCCAGTTCTCTGTAAGCTTTCCTGTTTCAGAAGGCGGTCTAGGGTTAGACTGCCTGGGGGACAGAGCGGTCTCATCTTACAGGTTTAGCTGCAGATCAGCGTAGGTGTGGTGCCAGGTGTTTTGTGGAGCCAGGTGTTTTGTGGACACTTGCTGGTGTTCATGGAGGTATGGTGCACGGGAGGACTCCACCTGAAAACAGCACCTTTAAAGAGAAATACTGCAACTCCAAAAGGCTGATTATTCAAAACTCCTGCCATATGAAAGTTAAGTTTATAGCGAACTCAGAATAAAGGCAGTGTGTATCTGTAGCAGGGTTGTCAAAAGGTCTTGGGATTTCTGCAAAGACTAGGTTTTTACAGGAATCCCCGGGGGGGTGCTAGTTGCCATTTTTACTTCCTCTCTTATGAGAGCGGTACAGTTAGACTGCGTTGAGTGTTTGGGGTTTTAGATAGGACGTAGGAACCACTAGTTCGATTTTGATGGCGAGAAAGGGTGAGCAGAGGGAACCAGATGCTCCCCCGCAATGCCGGCCTCTGCCGGCCTCTCCCTGCTCTCCTGGGCCGCCCTTGCCGGCCCGAGCGCTGC